TTCAGCTTTGACCCAGTCGCTTCATTCTTTCTGGCGCTACTAGTACTAGCCCTCCGCTCTTCCCCAGTAGCATATTGGACACCTTCCAACCTGAGGGGCTCATCTTCCGGCGTCATATCTTTTTGCCTTTTGGTACTGTCCACGGGGTTTTCATGGCAAAGATACTGGAATGGGTTGCCATTTCCATCTCCAGTGGATCACGTTTTGTCAGAGCTCTCTGCTATGACCTGTCCGTCTTGGGTGGCCCTACACGGCATAGCTCATAGCTTCATTGAGCTATGCAAGCCCCTTTGCCACAACAAGGCATTGATCCATGAAGAAGTAACTCCTGCTAGTTGTTTTCATCTATTGTATTTATTTATACCTTTTGTAAACCATCCACACAGCTTTGGGTATGGGTATAAGAAATGTAATTAATAATAATAATAATATCAAGACAGTCAAGGGTAGAGCAAAATCTGTTTTCCCTAAGAACTTGACATAATTACAAGCTTAGTTCCAACCTCCAATCTACACTCCCGCCCCACACCATAAAACTGAATGCTTTACTCAATGATGTGGATAACACTTGCCTTCTGATCCTGAGTAAAAGATCAACAGGAAATGCAAGTTGAACATTCTGCTTTCCATGTTTAGGGTCCTTGAAATAAACAGGCCCTCATTCCAATTATCCTGCATTTCACTACTGAAGTTCAGTTATTACTTCATATTTTTCACTGCTTATATCACTAAAATAATTTATAAATACCAGCATATGGAAATAAATAGGTCCAATTTATGTGAGAAGGACATAGCAAAATGGGAATGTTTCCCTCACACAGTACTTTCAAGCCACAGTTTGCTTGTAATATAATTGAAAGTGTTAAACATCAAAATAACCTCAAATCCTAGATATAAGCATTCAACCAGTATAAAATTAAAGAGAACATGAACCTAGATTTGAAATGTTTTTAATCTAAAATATTATTGGTGCAGAAGGCTCTAGAAGACTTTTTAACACAATGGTGGCACTCCATGAAGCAGTCCCATGAAGTGTAAGTGAGCCTTAAAAGGCTTCAGTCAAAAGGACAGGTGCTCAGATGTGAACTTAACCAAAACCGATAGAGGTCTTTTGTGTAGATGTTTAACTTCATTGCAGAAAATACATTCAGGCATCACATTTTCTCTTGCTACAACAACAAGGCCTTGTTCACTGAGGAAGCAGCTCCAAAAGAAGTGGGTGGATGGCCATGTGAGAGGATGCCATTTCCTCAAATGACACTGGCAGCAATTCCCATCTAGACAGCTTTAGCCCTCAGCTTTCTTTCGTAAGCTCTCCCCTGGCCCTTTTTCCAGCTAGGCTACACAAGGGAAGATGTGTCTTGTGTTATACTTTATCTTCATAGATTTCTATCTCACCCCTTCAATGAAATTCATCAGTAGAGCTTACTGAGAAATATTAAAACAACAACATACAATACAAAATTACAGCAGCAACAAGAAAGCAGCACAAAACCAGATCAACTTGTGAGGTAAATCTTACTTGTTTTTTTAATGGAATGTATAAAGGCCTTTGCCTTTGATGTAAAAAAGTTAATGTAGGCAGCAGGCAGGATTCTTTGGCAAGAGCATCCACAGGCCTTTGAGAAAGTGCTTTCCTGGTTGCTATCTACCTCACCTCTTGGTGGGAGCACATAGGAGAAAAAAGCCTCTGATTATATCCTTAATGTTTTACTGCTAGACTGATATTAAAGTAGCAATCCAAGTATCCTTGTCCCAAGGCGTGAATGGGTTCACTTGAATTGGGGCCAGAATGGGCTGGAAACCAGCACTATACTTTTAAGGCCTAGAAACACATAACTAATATAAAAGAAGAAACACCTAGCTTACTTCACATCCCATATTTTATAAGATCACTTCTGGTTCCATTCCAAGAAACCCCCCATAGGATATCTCTTTAAGCTTTCATGCAGCTTAGCTCAGTAGCTTTCTGTACAGGAAACCTGAAAGTACAACAGTGCCTCTTTAAAAAAAGTTGATGCAACTGTTCTAGGCCATTTGAGAAGTTGCCTTTCATGTGCTTAATAGCTGGGTCCTTGGAAAACCAAGATTCTGAGGTTTTTTTGTTACTTTCAAACAGTGACTACTGTAGTTTTAATTATCAGTGAAAAAAGAGGGTCTCCATTAGGGCAAAAAATTACAGTTGCCACATGAATAGCTGGAAGGATTTGGCTTTGCCTCTTTTTTCTCCTTTTTTAAAGATTTTTTCTAATTATAGACTACTTTTTCCACCTCTTCATTTCTGAGGAAGAAAATGGATGTAGCATTTTAACAGTGGTTTTAATGGTGCCTTCACTCACACTGCAATCCTGTATCTGCAACCTGTCTTGCATATACGTACTAGTAAGTCAAATGTTAGCTCACATTAATGTTTCAGGTTATCAGCCTATAAATAAATGTATTTTGAAGCTCTATCTATATGCTTTAACATATATGGGTCCCTTGTTCACCCTTATTAAAAAAATGGCATTGTTGTTTGAAAAACCTCCCTAGGGATTGGCAAGATGGCAGGGCTTAGCAAGAATGGAATGGACACTAGCGATTCTAGGCCCTACTCAAGAAGCTTTTCTTCAGTTTAAACTGAACCACCCTGAAAACCTGCAGAACTGTTTGTTCAGTCTTTTTTTGAAAATGGAAAAGGGAATGTTAGTACTGAATACAGTTGGGGCACTTTCAAATTGTTTTATCTATCTTCATTCTGCCTTGCATAATTATGGGCCACAGCATAGCACAGATTCCCTTTCTCTTAAACTGCATCAGCCTGGACATGTTCTTAGATAGTAATCAAAGTAGTCAGAGGCAAACCATCACTTGTTCCCACCAATCTTGATTTCCTCCAGAAACCAAAAAAGGGGGAAAAAACAGAAAAAACCCAACCCACTTTTTTTGTTTTGTTTTGAAGGATGCATTTCTGTATTGGATCCTGTTCAACAGCAAATACTGTAATTAATGTGAACAGCCATATTCAAGGAAAGTACATGATTTAATACAAGAACATCATCCAGACTGAATAACCAAAGGCTTCCAGAGTAAATGGCCTTTGCTTCAGCTGAGATCGATGGCAGTAATACAATAGCTGGCCAGTTGCCACTAGGCAACTTATTTCTCAGAAGCTTTAAGGCTTAATGAAAGCAACAGTCTGCTAAGAGCACTTAAAGCACCATTAAAGCAATTGATGCTACACTCCTGAAAGGCTCACAGACAACTTTCATTTTTTAGTTGCATCTATGCAAGAGATCTATATAGGTAGCAATTTATTTATTTTTTCCATATGCATATTCAGAAACAAATGGAAATATCAGACAGCACTGCTTAGTTCAGTGCATTTCAAAAGCACAATCTAAGCATTTTCTTTCTAGATGCAATGATTTATAGTTCTCTACTTCTAGCATATGCTAGAAACAGTTAAGATGGATTTACTGTGAAATACTTTGTACGCATTATGCTTCCAGGCAAAGTCAAGCAGAGTTGGAAGAAGAGAACTGGCTAATGTACAAGCCAATGTGCAAGTCCAGAAGAGTCACATGATATAAACACCCCGGCAAAGTGTTATTTCAAACTGCTGCTAAGAAATCACATGGTCAAATATTTCTCTTCTTAAAAATGAAAGCAACTTACTGGCTGAGAAAAACTACAATGTCGCAGAAAAGAACTTCAGACTCACATTCTCTCAGATGTGCTTTATTTTCCACCTTCACAGAGAGAAGGTTTTAATGTGAGAGAAAACTTAAATTATTCAGCTCCATACAAGCAGTCTAGAGGAGTTTAGTCCTGGGACAGCTACATCAAATTATTCTGGGAGGACTGCATAGACTGGCTGTAGAACGTGAAATAAACCACACCTTAACTCAGGATGTGTCCATAAAAGATAAAGTTGTAAGTGCAAAATACCTCCATGGACAGAAATTTCCAGATTTCTCTAAGCATATGGGAAAAAGGTACAGACCAGACCACAACAGAGTGTCTCAACTGAGTCTTTTAATGAAGAATGCAACTTGCAAGGTGGCAACTGTGTTCCCTGTGGTCATCCTGGACAGAGACCATGTGGCTGACACACCAGCTCTCTATGTGCATGGAAAATGTGTTTTCTGTGATCCTTGAGAGTGAGTTTCCTTCCTGAAGGTTACTTGCTATGAGGAATACTCAATCCTTTTTATGATATTTAGGCAGAATAACACACCCATATTATTAGCTGCCACTGGCAGGAAAGGAACATGCAGTTACGTCTTCCTTAGCATCACAGGAGGAAAGGAAGAATTCACCATAGGGCTGCATTATACAGCAACAAGTCTATTTTAGATTATGTTCAGCCACCTTTAAGGCCTCCTATGTCAAGTACCATGTCTAGGTTCTGGCCTGCATGTCATAAGAAACCTCACGGGCTCCCAAAGCAGGCAGAAGAGTAAACTCCAGAGAAGAGACCCACATTCTTGGCAGTCCTTTGAACTTGGCTAAAAGGATAAAAAGTATATAATGATAGCCCACCTTGGTGCAAAAACTAGAAAAATCTGGAATATTTGAGTGGCAGGTTAGTGTCAGTTAGTGCTAACAGATGACTGGTTTCTCATTACAGGTGGCTATGCCTTACCCCAAAAGCTGTGCCAAAAAGTGGCTACTGGAGTACTGCAGTGAGTGGCCAGATTGGATTTTATATAAGGGCTGCAAGTAGATTTTGTGACAATTTACCTTAACAATATTCCTCAGTGGCATAGTTCCATGGGAGAACCGATGAACAAATATTGTTTCAATCAACCTTTTGATGTAGTGGAAAGAATGGCAGATACATGCCAAGCTAGAAACAGTAAGATAAAAGCATTTCAGAAAGCTAAAGAGACAAATATGGCAAGACATTTTGGAATAAAGTTCAGATACCCAAGCATTAACTCCTCTGGCCTTGATGTGCAACTTACTTAACAACTGAATGTCGGCTTGAGGTAACCCTGTCATCCAGGCCATAGATAAAAGGCATGCGGAAATAAAACACAAAATAGATGAACAATGGACCCGTATATTCTATCAAAAATACCTGCAAAAAAGAGAGGAGATATTAGTCTGTTATCACGACAACTCTCAGCTGCACTGAATGCCAGCAAAGACCTAATACTAGTCATGATTAGGCTCCAGACAGCATATTTTATTTTATTTTTTGGTTGGTTGGTTGCAATGGTGAAGCAAAGCCCCCAGCAGGCCCTGTGTTGCCTATTCTAGAGACATGAAAAAGCTATTTTCATAGAAACAACATGCTTGATGAAACAACCCATGGTTTGCTAATCACGGATTGTTTGGAACTGTGAGAGTCCCACTTACCTGCTTGTACTATGCTAAATAACTGGTGGTCAGTTTGTCTTTGGGTTGGTTTTTATGATGTCCAAATCCAGAATTCCGGGTTCTTCAGGGAGAAATAACCCAGCATTATAATCCAAGAACAAACCATAAGTTATAGCTTTGGGTTGTTTCTCCCTCAATAACCCAGAGTTATTGGGTTCAGGGTTCAGATGCCATAGAGAACTACCCAGGAATTGAAGGTTTTTTGGTTGTTTAGGACACCAGAAAGCAAGTGAGTGGCCTGTAACCAGCATATGCACTTTCTCCAATATGCTCCCATACAGTCTATGTTTA